CCCCAAAACCCCAAAACCCCAAAACCCCAAAACCCCAACCATCCAAATTTAAACTGAATTTACTCCGTTCCATCCTATTTCCCAGTAAAACCCCCTTTTCCACCTCAGCCAGCATTCCTTACCCCCTAAATGCCCTTAAGTCACTCACCACCCTCCAAATCCCCCTTCTGGCTCTTACTTTTCTTCATTCGCCTTCTCTCCAAAAAATCAATTTTGGCAATTTTTCTTATCCTTCATTGTAAATTCTCTAGGCTCTACACCAAAAAGATGCAGCAGAGGCTCTTAGGTGCTGGAAAGACGGAATATTAGCATTTTTTGAAAAATTAAGTGGAATTTTGGGGATTTTGAAAATTTGGAGCGTTTTGAGGGGTTTTGGTATCCCTGCCCACCGCTTCCAAATTCCTCCAAACAAGTCCATTCTCTAAATTCTCCAAAACCCCCTACAGCTACAAGCTAAGCTAAGTTCAGCTGCAGAGGGTGAGGCTAAATTTTGGAAGCTTGAGTGGGCCGAGTGGGCTTAGGAAGAAGAAAATAGGATTTTGAGTGGGAATTTAAGGGGGTTTGTATGGAAGAAGTGGGGTTTTAAGGGGTATTGGGGTGGATGGGGAGTTTTAGGATATGAGGGAAGATATGATTTTTTGGACGAGATTTGGGATTGTAGAATTGGAAAATTAGGGATGGATGAATGAAGATTTGAAATGTGTTGATTTTGGAATCTCTTATTTTCTTTATTACTAGTATAAAAATTCAGAAGGTAATAGTGAGGTTTTTAATAACATCACAATTTTTTAGAAGATTCTTATATGAAAAGTGCCTAAAACTGTCAATTATACCTGATATTCAGTAAGGGTTCAACTTCAAACTGGAATAAATATTTATTGTAATATTCTCCAGCTCCACATCGCTTTGGAAAATACTATGGCTAACTTTCAGTTAATAAAGAGAATTTAGTTAGTTTCATGATAATTCTTCCCTTTATATGAAATTTTCCGAAATTTCATTAGCAAAGTCTTAACCAAAATTGTCTTTGTTGGATAGTTTCGATAATAATTTTTCCTAATATATCGCCTCTAGTAATTAGAAGTGTTATTATTTTCAGAGATCTGGTGACAAGCTTGTAAATTAACTAATAAAAAGGTATAAATTTAGCCTGATTGAATGAAGTTTTCGATTATCGTCATCTATTAATTTGGTATATTATGGCCATTTTTAACCCTGATTTTTGACAAGGGTTCTTTCCTGTCAGATTCATAATTTCTTCCCGATCGATATCGAATATTTGTACTATCCAATAATTAATAACGCTATAAATTCCGGAAATTTAGCAAAGAACGTTCGACTCAAGTTTGAATTTTACTAAGAATTTACACTGGTGGAAGCGCAAATTGTCTATAAGCTCTTATAGCGTTAGGAAATGCTCTAACAGGAAGTGAGAGCTATGACGAGTTCAAATGAATACTATTTCGATTTCTAAGTACTAGTAATTAATTAAACGATGACTATTAATTTTAACGAGATTAAAATTTTGGAATTTATATAAATGTAGAAGTTGGTGAAGAGCTTCTTTAAAAAGCTTCTATAAGAGATTTACAGCTATAACCATACCCTTGAGACTCTATAGATGATAGCCAACTCATGACAGTCCTCCAGGTCTACTTTCTCAGATCAAAATCTCCAATTTGCTTTTAGAATAATTGTAGGAAAATTCAAATCTTTCAGAAGCGATTACTGAAGAATTACAATTCAATGCTGTAAAATAAATTGGTGGAGGAAGCAAGTTATTAGTTAAAATTATCGTTATCGTAAATTATTAATTATGGTCAGAACTCCTAAGGGGAGACCTTGTTTAGCTTTGGAAGTGCTATATCACCTTGACTTGAATCATCACTGATAGACTTTGAAGAGCTTCCGTAACTGAATAAAAAGGTTAGATACTTGAACCAGTTTAAAAATTAGTGTATGAAATGAACCACAAAAAGCACAACATCTTAAAATAACTTACGTCTGGAAGTTGGTAGCCTTCTGGCGCAGAACTAGAGGGGAGCAAAATCTTCCATTGATAATTTTGTTTTGCTCTAGCTTTTTATTGATGCGACTGATCATATTTTGGTGATACTCGATCATTGATAAATTCTGTTCTCTTTGCTCCTCTGAATGCTTGATTCCGCATCTTCCAGCAGAAAGAATTCTCCTTCTCTTGTCTCTTTTTGTATTAGCTGGAGGTGTAGCCACTTGCTTGGTTGATCTCTTTGGAGACACCAGCGATCTGATAACATTCCTCAAATCTTGGACGTTCTGAATCTATAGACAACGTTGAGATTTTTACTACTAATAAGTCTTCACCAAATGAATGAATTCGTACCTTATTCTTTTTGCATCTCACTATTTTTCTCAGCTTCCTGCTTAACATTAGAGATTGGTTATCCCTGGTCAAACTGAGGATGTTTCTATAGTAAATTATGAGTAAAATCCAAATAAAATTTAATTCAAGCAAAGAATCCAAAAGTGAATAGTGTCAAACTCATACCTCCTGCTAGCTTTCTTAATTCTGTTAGTCCGTTGTCTCATATTATTCCTATTCCTTTGAGATTGTCTAAGTTGTTCCTTCTATATAAATATTTGAGTTATTATTCAAAGTAAAAGAGTCTTGAGCACTAATCTGGGGAGAACTCACATTAACAGTTCTTCTGGTAGTAGATTTTAATTCCATTTAGTTTAATTAATATATAACTCCTCCTGTTTTATAGTACGGGGTTTTGGGGTTTTGGGGTTTTGGGG